TTACAAGATCTTCTTTCAGCATTTCTGTTTCTTCTTCCTGTGTCTCTGAAGGTGATTTTTCTGTAAGAATATCTTCTCTGACTTGTACCACTTCTTCGTGTTCAATCGTCGGTGATACAACAAATTCTTCTTCTTTCAACATTGTTACACGATCTTCTTTCAGCATTTCTATTTCTTTTTCCTTGGTCTCTGAAAGTGATTTTTCTGTAAGAATATCTTCTCTGACTTGTACTATTTCGTCGTGTTCAATGGTCGGTGATACAACAACTTCTTCTTCTTTCAACATTGTTACACGATCTTCTTTCAGCATTTCTGTTTTTTCTTCCTCTGTCTCTGAAGGTGATTTTTCTGTAAAAATATCTTCTCTAACTTGTACTATTTCGTCGTGTTCAATTGTCGGTGATACAACAACTTCTTCTTCTGTCAACATTGTTACATGATCTTCATTCAGCGTTTCTGTTTCTTCTTCCTGTGTCTCTGAAGGTGATTTTTCTGTAAGAATATCTTCTCTGACTTGTACTATATCGTCGTGTTCAATTGTCGGTGATACAACAACTTTTTCTTCTTTCAACATTGTTACACGATCTTCTTTCAGCATTTCTATGTCTTCTTCCTCTGTCTCTGAAAATGATTTTTCTGTAACAATATTTATTCCGACTTGTGCTATTTCTTCATTTTCAATTGTCGTTGATACAACATCTTGTTCTTTTAATATCTTTTTAGGTGTTATAATTTCTTTTATTTCATTTATGGTAGATTCCGATATTTTTTTTGTGACATCCCTAGCGATTATTTCTTTTTCTTCTTTTGTTCTTCCTGATTTTTCGTCAACAACTTCTCTTGCGGTAATGTCAAGGATATTTTCATCTTGTAATTGATCCAATTTTTTTACGACGTCATTCTGTTCACTTTTAATTTCCTCAGTGTCAATTGTTTCTTTTTCTAATTCATTTTCATATCTTGGAAAACTTTCTTCTGCTCTTGTCGTTTTGGAGATTATTATTGGTTCCGTTAATAATTGTGCATCTTCATCAGCGAGTATTTCTTGCTTAGTTTCTTTTGTTTTCTCTAATGTTTTATCAACAGCTTCTTCAGCAGGAATTTCAAAATTTACTTCATCCTGTGTTAGATTTAACTTTTCATCGATTAAATTAATTAGTTGTTTTTTAGTTTCTTTAGTTGTATTTTCACGCTTCATTTCATCATTTTCCATATCATGGCTTTTTTCATGGATTCTGTCAACCGTGACTTTTTCTTGGCTAACTTCCATAATCTCCTGAGTCTCTTCTGATATTGTAATTTTAGATTCACTAATTTGGTTTGTCTTCTTTATCAAATTTTCTTCCGTAACTTCGTCCTCAGTATTTTCATATGGGTCTGGTTGTTCAAACATAATTTTTTCAAGATTCAGTTGCAATGTTATGGTTTCCATTTCCACTTTTCCTGTTTCCTGTCTGGCGTGATCTGTATTCAGCTTTTCTGTGATAATATCTCTCTTTGTTTGTATGATTTCGTCATTTTCAGTTGTTGATAATACATTTTCTTGTTCTTCTGACTCGGCTTCTGATTTTTCAACAATTACCTCTGTTTCTGTCGTTTCAGAGATAATTTTGAATTCCGTTATTTTTTCTGTCAGAAGTGCTTCTTCAGCAGTTACTTTTTTTTCAACATCTTTGATAATTTGCTTTTTGTCAAGTTTGATAATTTTTTGTTCTTCAGTAACTGGCTCATACTTTTCAATTTCTTGTATTCCATCTTGACATTCAACTAAAAATTCTGTTTCTGTTACCTCTTTAATTTTTTTTAGATCATCTAAAATTGAACTTCTTGTCTGACTTTCTCTTTCCAATTCCGCAAAAGTCTTTTCTTCAGATTTCTTCTCTTCTATTTTAGTTTTCAGTTTTTTCTCATCAACTATCAGCGTCTGTTTAACATTAGTTTCTTTTTCTGGTGTAATTTCAAAAAGTTCTTCTTTTGTCACTTGGGTTTCTTCTTTTACGGCTTCAGTTTGAAATTCATCTTCAATTTCTGTCACTTCTTTTGTCATTATATCTTCTAAAATAACACTTTTTTTACAAATTTCTGTTTCGTCAAAACATATTTTGCCAAAAATCTTTTTTTCTTTCTCAAATGTTCTGCCATCAGTTTTTTTCTCAAATTGTATTTCAATTGTTATTGGTTGACTTTCTTTCATATGTGTTACGATCTCTGGTTCTAACGACAGATCTGGCCTATACGACATTTGAATATAAGATTCTGAGGTATCTGATGTTTTTTCTTTTGTATCAATATATTCTTCTTCAACTTTTTTCGCTTTTTGAAGTTCATATTCGCCAATTGATACTTCCATAGTTCTTTCCAATTTTTGTTCAGAATTGTCTTCTGAAACCGGGACCTCTTCATGATCATAAATTGTTGTTGAAACTTTTACATCAATCTTTTCATGCCGTTGTTGACTTTCTATTTCAATTTTTTCGACAACCGGCTGCATGGCTTCAATTTGCTCTTGCTCTCTTTCAGATTCTTGTTTTTCAAAGTGCTTTTCAACCGGCAATGCCTGTTTATCAACTGATTTCATTGCCGTGATTTCATTTGTTTTTTCAAGCGTGTAGTCGTATTTCGTTTCTTGATCTTGTGGCATTTTTTTACTTATCTGTTCTTCAACTTTTAGATCTTCAACTGCAATTTTTTCGATTGCAGATATCGGCATTTGTATGACGGGTTCCGCTATTTCGCCATGTTCTTTTAATATGATTTTTTCAATTTTAGTTAAGTTTTCGTTGCTATCTGTTTGTTTTGTTAGTTTGTTTCTTATTATTTTCTTTTTAATCCAGCATCCATTTTCATTTACATCTTCACTCAGCTCATCAGCAATTTGAATCCATATACCATCATCGCTTTTTTCCATTTTTTCATTGAATATTTCTTCTATTTCCATGCCTAATAATTTTTGGCTTTTACATGATACTTCATTTCTATTTTTTGAACTGTACACTGTTTTCGTTTCAAAATATTTCGTCGTTTTTGTAATTTTTTCTACTACCGCTCCTTCATCATTCTCGAATATATCTCTGCTGATTTCATTTGTTGCGTTTATTTCTGTTTCCGATTCTTCTTCTCCATCAAAAACGTCAAATTGTTCATTTGTGTCGTAAATCTCATTTTTTAACAAAACTGATTGCTGTGGAGCATAATAAGAATCTGATTCTGGTTCTGGTAGCGACTGCGGTATCTTATCACCATTGGCAGCTCCCTTCATCACAACATCTGTTGGACTGTATTTCTCTTCGACAGTTTTTATCTCTATAGATTTAACTAGTTTATCTTCTAATTTGCATTTGTCTTCCGGTGAAATCTGGCTCACCATTATTATGCTCTCGTTAAAAACTTGAGTGGATTGCTCCATTCGATCTGATTCTGTTTCCCAGAAACCCGGATCTTCCATGCTCAGTTTCATTTCTGAAAATTTAAATTTTGGAACCATGTAGTGCTAGAAATTATTAAATGTTAATGTTTTATACCTGATTTTGTTTTAAGCCCTTTTTTAGGTGTGATTATGGACTCTTTGACTTCTTTAGGCGGAACTTTGTGAAATAGAATGTTTCATTGTAACAATCGTATTACAACAAAAATAAATGCACAATGCAAAACTAACTTTTCGGCCTATGTATTTTCGATTCAGCATAATCCGATAAGCTATCGTCCATGCCATATAATTGAAAATCTGTTGAATTATTTTATTAATTAGTTTGTAATTACAAACTTTTACAAATTTGTCTCGTAACAAATATTTATTATGAAGTCAACAGCGAGGTGGTATGAAGGTTGAGGTGACTGGTTATGCTGCAGCAGGATTGAACACAACTTGCTAAACATATCCACTATGTGAAATGCGTTGATTTACGAGCATTCACATACGTTGTGTGTGTGTGTGGTGTGTGTGTGCGCGCGTGTGTGTGTGTTTGAATAATGTGAACAAATAGTATTTTTATGATTTGAAGTCTAAAACAAATTATAATAAAATTTTATTATACATACATTATATATCATTTATATCACATATTTATATCACCTATGTTTTTGCACGTCTGCTTGAACAAAATCATATTTAATTTTGTGCGTTAACTTACCCCTAACGCTGTCAACGTAATTTTCATGCGCTTCTGTTGTGGTTTCGTCTTGAGGCACTTGTTTTTCTTTTTCTGCAGTAGAATGTCGTTTTCATTGTTTTACACTGTTTAACACAGTTTTTTTTTATTTAAAAAAATTCGACATTAACATGCAGTTATCAAACTCGAAGCGGGTTTTGTTTAAATTGTTCAAACGAAACTAGCGAAAACGAACATCATGAAATTGCAAATGTAAGCATGCTTGAGTACATTTGAAATATACTTGCCTTCCGAGGAATCGAATGAAATTTTTCTAATGCGTTCGAGTGTATTGCTTTTCAAGTAAATTTTAACCAAATCGTCGCGACCTATATTGTTGAAAGCCTTTATGAGCGATTGACTGAACCCAAAAATATCTTCCAGTTTTTCTTCATCCGTTCTGCCATGTTCGTTGGCCCACTTTCTAAGCAGATCTTTCGCCTGGTCTCTGGGGAATGTGTACTCGAGTTGAATCCTGCTGATGTCCTCTTCTGGAATGTCGATATCAGAAGTCAATGCACTCCAGTCTGATTGTTTTATATCATTCAAGTCTGAAGCTTCCATTTGTTTGCACGTTTCTTCAAGTAAAATACTTTCCGGTTGTAACTTTGTCGGTAATGTTTTTTGTATCGGTAGATTGGTTTCAATGTTTTCAGTCGGGAGAATATTTTGTATATCTTCTGGAGATAATTTTTCGGTTAATGTAGTTACAATGTGCTCTTTTGTAAGTCTTTCAATTTTGGTCATTTCAGGCATTTGAGACGTTGGTAGTGAAACTCTATCACAAACTGAAATAAAATTAACTTCGTCGAATAATGCGGTGTGTCGATAATAAGAGTTAGATGAAGCATGTTAAAAGTAACTTAAAAAGACAATCTTTTTATTATTCAAAAAGTAGTTATAAATAAATTTAACATTTTGTGCATTGAATGTTAATAAAACTGTTAGTGCACTAAAATATACTATAAACTCACTTTGATCTATTTCTTCGCTACTAATTCTTCTAGACTCGCTCCTGAGAACATCAGGTAGTGTCAGTAGTAAATTGCAGACGGGGCTCGGTGGTGGCAGAGATTCGTTTCTAAAATGTTTAGGATCACGCATGAAAAATATTCGGCCGGAAGCTTCTTCGTCTGAATTTCGAATTCGAACAAGAAAAGGAAGTCTATTTTCGTGGAATGATTTAACTCTCAGTTGTAGCTGCTCGTCTGACTTTGTTATAGGAATCAAGTTTCCAATCATCTCTATGAACAACGGTCTGCCATCTAAAACCTGTTTTAAAGTAAAATTTTTAGATAAAAATGAAATTAAGTAAATGAAAGTGAAAATAATTATTTATTCTGTATTAAGACACTTCTTTAGCATTAACTGAGGTTACAACTTTTTAAATGTTAACCTCTGTTATTCTGCTCGTGGCTATTTCTTCAAAATGCTCCTGGGTCTCTAATGTTTTCTCGACCTTGTCGTCGGTGACACAAAACACTCGAAGTCGAGCTTCTTGTGGATTCGTGTGCAAACGTTTCGAAAAGACGACAAATCGAGAAAACATAGGCACCAAGATAGATTCTCTGTACAGATCCATAGCCATTTTAGATGAATCAGAGATGTTTTGACAGTCCATTAGCCAGAATCTTTCAATTGATTAAATGTGGATCATTTGTTGGAAAAAGTTGCTAATTGATTTTTATAAAGTTATAACAAATTAAAACCTTGCTGAAACTGTTGTTGTGAAAGACACGCAATCTTGGACGAAAGTTAACGGCGTAGTGGTGGTGATATCTTCCCATAAGGCTGGCATTGATCCACCTTTTGAGTTAAAAATGTTTTATTTAGTCCCAAACTGGAAATTAATACAATTCCTTTCAAAATTGAAGCGTTGTAAACTAAACATTGCCTTTGTAACGTAAAAAGCTTTGAACTGGCTAGCTCGCAACATAAAATAGCAAGCTAATGAAACATATCCGCTATAAAGAACTATCTATGTATGTGAACAACAAATTCTAACGATAATAATAAATATATTCATGTTGGACAAAAACGAAACAAAATCAGTTATATGATACAGAAAATGTATTGTACCAACTAGCAGCAAATTAAAAAGTTGAAGCACCTACGGAAACCAAACGGAATAGAGCAAACTGAAACTTACGCTTACCCGCCAGACTGCATAACAGTCTTAACGTCGGTGTTTCTGATGCATATTGGTTCATCATGCTCTTCTGCGAAGCTCGAGGCAATGGCAATGTTAGTGTTATTGGCTTGTGAAATTTTCTTCTTCTCGGTTCAATCGTTACGCAAGGACTAACAGCAATTCGGTTTCCTAACATCTTCATGACGAGATCGGGCGATATTGGTAATACCTTAAAAACAAAAAAAAAATGTTATACTGCTTCGTTTTTTGTATTTTATAATACTTTTACAATTAATTTTTTTAAATTTTGTTTTCAAACCTGAAGTCCGACTTTAATATTTTTTGTTAAAGCTCCTTCTGGAAAGACGGCTTGAACTTGAGGTATGACAGTTGAACTAATGATGCCCCCTTGGGGACCTATCACACTTATCTCTTGCTTCAAACGAGTTACAATGGCAAAATATTCAGGAAGATCGGATGTTAATATTCGAGTTACGCGTCTTTGGTAGAAGTTTTCCGCATTTTCTACATCTTCAGGTATAAAATTTTATTTAAAAAATTAATTTATAAACTATTTTGAAATTAAAACTTTATTTAAAAGTTATTTTGAAATCGAAGGAAGGAAGGATAGATCACCATCGAAGTGTCCATCCATAGCGTCTTGAACGTTACTTTCAGTTGCTGATAGTCCATGCTCGTACCAGGTCTCACCGTTGTCACTCCGCAAGATGCATATCTCACGCTCCTTATCACGGAGAGATGCGAAATGTGGAACTTCAATTAATATCGGCCTGTCAACATTTGTTTGTTTTGATTTCAATAAAACACTCTTTCCAACTCAAAACATTTCGTCTGCTTGAGAAAAAATAATTGATCCCTACCCCTCAAACTTGACTCCAACGGGTCCCATGACGAGGACTCGTGTGGCAAGTCCCTCACCTTCTAATAACTGTGGAGGAAAAGAAAGTTTTTCCTTTTTGACCAACTTGCAAGTTACCCTCGTCGGCATGGTGGCTCTGTTAGGGGGTACAAGGATCCTCACCCCCGAATGTCGACAGCCTGACATGGCTCCACCTCGGGCGTCAACCAGGAAACTCACGAGGAAACTGAAAATTTCAAACGAGTTTTTTGCCGCTTTGATTGAGAAAAATTAAATCTAAGTAGTAGTTATCCGTGTTGCTAAAAAAGTTTTTTTATTGATAATTATCATGCATTTAATTTAAATAAAACATTAAGTAAACAGAGATGATACGTAATTTGAAAAAAAAAACTCAACAGCCCGGTGTTTAGGATCTGCTTCGTTTGTGAGTTTCGTTTATAAAGCAAAGTTTAAAAAAAGTAAACAGATAATAAAATGTTATGAACACGTTTCATTCGTTCTGCGACTAACTTTCTCCATTTGTAACGTCTGCAAATAAAAAATAAAAACAGATAAGAACTCTGATATTTATCGCAAGATAATATTTTTTGTTATTTTTTCAAAACCATTTATACGATACATTGTTTATAAACACGTACATATAATACTTATCTTTATATATTATTTCATTAATATATTTTTAATCACTTATTTATATGTGTGTGCCTTGTGCCTGAGCTTGAACAACCGTGTGCGTGAGTTTATTTGCGTTAAATTTATTTGTTGTATACATGTAGGTTCGCAGTACAGATTCAGCAGAATCGTATAAATGTGCAACTGTAAATCATAACAGAGCCTCATGTTTGGTTTGATGCTTCTAATTTTATTTCACTTGCTGTAAAAATTTCACAAACCTTGCTTCATACAACGTCGTAAACATCGATTCATTTTAACATTGTTTCGTTAAGAAAGGACCTAGAACTTTGCCTTTGCCTATACTACTTATCATAAATAAATTGTCAGAACAATTTCGATAGACATATAAACATTAGTATATAAGTACATTAAAGCATAGCTTTATACAGCTAAAGCACTAGAGCGTTCGTGTGGAAAGCACAAAAATTAGGTACCCATTTTTGAATTGTAGTTGATCGATGGCGACGTTGTCTACGTTGAAATTACTGTGCAGTGATGTGCCGCTGTACGACGATGAACAAATTATTTTCGATTCCATGTCTGATGTTTTCATGAGGGGGACGGCCGGGACGTATTGTTCGTTGGCGTATGGCAGGTCGGATGTCGTCGACTGTTCGTTCGGTTGGGGTGGCAAAAAGTTTTACGTTCAACTTTTTATTAAAGTTTAAATATTAAATATAAGTGATCTCTGATAAGAAAATAAATTTTCAACAAATTCTAATTTTGTAATAAATGGCTTATTTTGTTTTATTCATTTCATGAACAAGACAAGCGGTTGGCTAACGTAAGTCCTTTCTTGCAGTTTCGGTTGAGTAGATGTTTCGAACGGGGATATGTACATGGATGAGTAGGATATCTGATTCGTGTAAGCCACTGCGGCCGGGTCCATTTCCTCAAAATTTCAATTCAATTATTTCTTATGCAATAATAAAAAATTTAAAAAGATTTAGTCATTTAATTTATGTTTTTCAAAAAGTAAGTTTTTATCAATTTTCAACGAGTGATCGATTAATGTTCACCTTGCCGGAAATTATTGAATCGTGCTTCAGGAGCTTCATGTCACTCTCGTTCATGTCGCTCCCCACTTGTGGCTCGTCAACTTTAAAAATAAATTAGTTAAATCGGTAAATAACAAATAATAAGCTGAACTATTAAGAAGTGAATATCCATTGTAGGGCACATTTCCAAATCGTTTATAGTGTCGTGACTACATCATTTAACGTCATACATGATAAAGTCAGATCTGCTGCAGACATTTAATGAAATGGATAAAATTGCGAAAACGAATTATAAGAAGGTTTGGTAGTAAAATTTAGATAAAGTAACGAATAAATTAGCGATTGATGGCTCGTACCTCCTTCGTCTTCAGAGTCAGACATGGCCGCCTCTTGCATCACTTCCGGTACGACAACTTTGTATTTTTCGTCTACAGATGGTATCACTTCCGGTTGTTTAGTCACGTGCCTCAACAGTTCAACTACGGAGATGTAGCCGAGTCGTTGTGCAATGGACATGGCCGATTGCCCATTCTGTCGGGGAAGGTAGATTGATTGAGATTATTCATTTCATTATTTGACTCTTTTCGAAAATTAATTGTTTGTTGAAATAACAGCACTAACATTCGTTGTAGCGTTAGGATCGGCACCGTTCTTCAGCAGATAACCAACGATGGCCACGTGGCCTTGCTGGGCAGCCTGGTGCAGTGGGGTGTATCCCACTCTTGTTTTTAAATTTACCGCTGCTCCATTCTCCAGGAGAAACTTCACCATATTCAGCTGACCGAAGTGACATGCGGTATGAAGGGGTGTGTAACCGGCCTATGTTTGTGATAGGAGGAGATGAGGGTTAAAGGTTAAAGGTTACTCTCTCTCTTTTGCGTTAGCTTCAGAGGTTTCAACGACAAACACACACAGCGTATATGAATACGCGTGCAAACCACACATCACACACATTGCATATGATAGGCGGGGATCTTTTGTATTCGAACCCAGTCATTGCAATAGCAAGACCAGGAGCCTTTAACCATTGAGCCATCACGCCGCCATAATTATTTAGCCCTAGTCACTAATTAATTTTTTATTTATTTTTTTTGTTCTAACTTTATTTAAAATGAATGCTATCAAATTTTATGACCTTCGTCTGCGAATCCATTTCGCAATCGGCTGACTTTAAAATTTTTGCGACTTCAAGTTTGTCTTCCTGTGCAGTCAGGTGCAGAGGTGTCAGTCCGTTTTTAGATTTGCTGCTCGGTTCTGCCTTGTTCTCCAATAGCAGTGACGTCATATCTGTGAACCCTTGCTGACAGCAGAGGTGCAGCGATGTGAAGCCATTCTGTCGGTTCATTTTTTAGTTGATTATAATTTAAGGAATCATTTTATCATAGATCTAGTAAAAATATAGCAATCAAATTCCAATTCGTAAAAATTTTTAAAAAATATTAATAATATAATAAAAGAATAATTAGTAAGTAGTAAAAATATAGCCACTAAAATTTAATTCGTTTTCAACTATGTTAACATCTTGATATTCTGTTGAGACCTTAGAATGGCTGTTTGGATCAGCTCCGTGAGTTAAGAGGATTCCAGCAACATTCATTTGGTCTTTCCTTGATGCCACGTGTAAAGCCGTGTAACCATTCTGTAAAAAAAAGTGGGTTGGTGTTCAACATGTTTTTCCAATTTAAATCAAGTTTTTTAAACAAATTAATTTATTCCAGAATATTTTCTGTTAATTTCAGATTGATAATCCTAATTTTAAACGACCTTCGCTTGTTTTTGAGGGTCAGCCTTATTTTCGAGGAGGACGAGAGCAGCGGGTACGTTGTTGTAATGTGTGGCTACGTGCAGAGGCGTCAGAGAATTCTTGCCTTCTTCGTTCACGTTGGCTTTTTTCTCTATCAGGAACTTCACAAGAGGCATGTGGCCGTATTTTGTTGCTATATGTAGTGGCGCGAAACCTTTCTGCTCGTTTGTTTCGTGGGTTTTAAAAGTGTAAATATATCTTACTGAAAAATAATTAATAATACTGTGTTATAAATTATAGTATTATTAGTATTCTAGTTATATAAATTATTGTTGGACGACGTGATGGCCTAGTGGTTAAAGGCGCCTGGTGTTGTTTCGCATTGCGGCAGTTACCGGGTTCGAATATGACAGAAGAAAGGATTCCCGCATATCTCATGCTTTGTGTATGATGCGCCATTCACAGCGTATTCATGTATGTTGTTTATGTGTTGCTGATTCTTCTGAACTTTGAAAGGATGTTGGGGCCTTTTTTAACTTTTTAACCCTAGTTACAAACTCAACAATTGTTATTAACGCAGCGATTTAACCTTCGTTAATGAGTCGACATTGGCCCCGTGGTCGACGAGAACCTGAACGACCTCGAGATGACCTTCCTTGGAGGCCACGTGTAGAGGTGTGTAGAGATCTGACGTCTTCGTATCCGGGGTGGCTCCATGTTGCAGTAGCAGCAACACGTTGTCCACGTTTCCAAGCCTCGATGCGATGTGCAAGGGACTCTGTTGCTCCTGTTTCAAATTCATTCAATCAGCCCTTCCTAAACGTCAGCTTTTTATTATTTTATACAAAAGTATCGGCGATAGCTGCAGCTCTTAGTTACAAGATCATTGTTAAGAAAGTTTACAAGTTTTTAAACTTTAACCCACCCTCGCTTTAGCATCCACGTGACTTCCGTTTCTCAGCAGCACTCTGATGATGTCAGTCTGATTGGCCCTGGCAGCCAGATGGAGAGGTGTCTCTCCTCTGACGGTGGTGCAGTTGGGGTTGGCGCCTGTTTGCAGCAGGAACATGACGATATTCATGTTGCCCATGAAGGCTGCGACGTGCAGGGGGGTCAGTCCCGACTGTGGGGGTATGTCGAAAATAAACAATTATATGATAATTGTCCAACGATAATATAACTTTTCATATTATAATTAGTGTTTTGTTTGTTATAAAACTTTACTTTTGGAATATTGGATTCGAATTTTTAAATTTTCGTTTATAATATAACGAATCTCTAATTGGAAACATCATTGTGAATGTACCTCTGTTGTAGCTTCTATAGATGCTTTGTATTTTAACAGGAGTTCCACTATGGGGAATCTGTTCTTCTTGCAGGCAATGTGCAGAGGTGTGAACCCATTCTATTTGGAGATTTTATATAACAGTTTTAATTAAATTATTCTATCAATTCTTTCAAAAGAGTTTCAAAATGAATGAAAATTCACCAGGGCTCTTGAGTTTGGTTCGCATTTTCTGTCGAGAAGAACTTTTGCAGAACGTACATTGCCACAGTGTGCAGCGACGTGCAGCGGCGTCAAATAGTCCTGAGATCAAACAAAAATCATCGAAATAATAAAGTTTATAATGGAAGAGTATGAAGTTACAAAACTTAGCTGGGGTGTCGTTTGCAAAATAATGAATCTAAAAATAACTCACAATTGTGACGTCATCGATGGGGGCCCCCTTATCGATGAGGAGGCTGACGCAATCGACGTGGTCTCCCTGCACGGCCATGTGCAGAGGTGTAAGTCCATTTTTCGTTTTTATGACGACGCTCGCTCCCCTGGCGAGCAGCAGGTCGACCACACGTTCGTGGCCACTTCTTGCAGCGCAGTGTAGCGGAGTCAGTCCGTCCTAGGTGGGTGAGAGTGGTGGCAGTGGTGGCGGCGATGGTGGTGCAGTTCAGTAAATTGAAAAATATAATTGTTGAAATATAGAGAGTCAAAACTATTGAATTTCTAAATTATCCACTGTCTACGTGTATGTTTAATTACAATGTTCGCGCTGAGATCAAATGAAGAAACAATGCTAATTTCAAGTATAAAATATGAAGAAACTATTATGAAATTATCTATTCGCTATTGAAGCAAACTGCAATAAATGAATTATTCTCTAATAACATCAGGCACTACTCTCAAATATAAAATAAAATTATATAACATCTAGAGTACTACTGCATTAGCGGTTCTAAAAGATGAGATGAGTTAAAAACAGCCACATGGTGATGAGAATTTGATGGAAAGTAAATAAATAATGTCACTGCTGACCCTCGTTTTACTGTCAATATGAGCTCTTCCCTTGTCAATAAGCAGTGCCACCATGCCAGCTTTCCCCCATTTGCTCGAAACGTGCAGCGGTGTTATGTTATTCTGGAGGGGATTTTATAAGATTTGAATGAAATAATTGCGTTTAATTTATTAAATAATAAGTAATTTTCACCAAAAAAGGCATTTTAAATTAAAAATGTTATTTATATAATTGTTGCAAAGAATAGTATGGTGCTGATGAAACTTACTCTGGCTTTATGGTTCACGTCACCACCTTTTTCGATGAGAAGTCTGCCCACGTTCGTGTTTCCGTAATGAGATGCTATGTGCAACGGCGTGAAACCGCTCTGTCACAACGGAATAATTTTATAACCAAGTAATTATAATTGGATAATTATAATTAGATGATTACCTGGATTTTGTAATTATAATTAATTAATTATTTATGTGGGATTTGTTATTTAGAATATAGTTATAAAACTGAATTCAATCAATCAATCAATCAATCAATTAGCTTATAAAGCGCTATTTCCGCGATGTTCAACAGCGCTCCTCAATGAATTTTGAAAACAGATGGGTCTTGAGATCCGCTCTGAACTTCGCAAGTGATGGAGAAATAGTCAGAGAAGTAGGTAGAGAGTTCCAGAGAAAAGGACCAGAAAAAGCAAAAGCAGATTTGGCAAAAGAGTGTTTAACACGAGTTAAGAAAAAGCGAGAAGAAGAAGACGATCGTAAACCGGGGCGTTTAGGTTCAATTAATATATCTGATAAGTACTTAGGAAATAATTTCGATTGAGACTTATACATGAACGTGCAAATTTTAAAAATTATTCTATATTTTATAGGTAGCCAGTGCAAGAGAACAAGATATCGAGATATATGAGAAAAGAAAGGGGCACGAGCAACTAGACGAGCAGCAGAGTTAAAAGCTTTACTTAAAGGATAGAGTATAGAGTCAGGAAGACCATAGTAGAGCGAGTTACAATAATCAATCCTAGATAAGACTAACGAAGTAACAAGAAGGAGAAGAGTAGGATCATCAAGAAAAAGCAAAAGTTTTTTTATTCTACGTAGATGAAAGTAAGAGCTTCTAGCAACACTATTAATCTGAGAAGAGAGAGACATAGTAGAATCAAAGATA